CTCCTTTTTCCCCGGGTCCTGATTTCCTCCCTCTTGAGTGGGGGGTGAGCGTACCCACAAGATGTGGAGGTGGGGCGTGAAGCCGTCATGACTTCTCCCCAGAGACCCCCAGAGTGCCATGCGCACAGCATGACTCAGTGGCGCCCTTTAAGGAGATAATTTGATTGATGACGTGGACAATTAGACTTGTGAACTTGACATCCACATCGATTCCAATGGCGAGAAAATCTATTTTTGAATCCTACCATCTATGACGGGAGAAATTGGTTCTGTTTGGGGGAGAGGTGCGACCCCGCTGAAATCAACACTAAATATGGTCTCAAACCCATGCTTCCCCCCTCTCCCCGCTCCCTCTTGTATTTTTCCAGGAACCTGTGGCTGGGCCAGGGGTAGGTGGGCGGGAGCCACTCTGTCTCCCCCGCACCACATGCAGACCTGCGTCCAGGCCTGGGGGACGCCGTGGGCCTGGGCTGCCAGGCGCCTCTCCAGGCCCCGCGCAGGAGGCTTCTCTTTGATTGAACTTGAAACCAAACCTTCATGTTCTTGAGCCTAAATGTACCTGTGCGCCTCCAACATCCCTCCCACCTTCACCCTCTGGCCCCCTCCCCTCTGCAGAAAAAAAAATTTCTCTCTCCGACAAACTTTAGCTCAAAAGAAGAATCAGGGTTGTAGTCACCGTGTGTGCATCTCGTAGGTGTGTGCAGGAACCTCACAGCTCCCAAGAAGGCTGGGCTGGCCCTCTCAATGCCAGGAGGGTAGGGGCTCCCCTCTGGGGCTCCCCATTATCCTCCCTGCTTCCCACTCTTAAGCTCTGTGTGGCTGAGCAGAGAGCTTGGTGCCTGAGTTCCCAGTGGGCCGGGTTTCAAACCCCAGTTCTGCTATTCATTACCTGCTCAGCTGTCTCAGGGTCTTCAAGCCTCAGCATGCTCATCTCTGAAATGGGCCTGCAATCCCAAGTCCCGCTGGGAGAGGCCTGAGCAGACAGATGGCCTCTGCTATGGGGTTGGGCTGGACGCGGAAGCCGGGGGAGCAGAAAAGGCGCCTCCCCCCTGCTTGTCTGTGTACCCCTAACTCAGGATGCGGGTGCAGCGTTCCCTGCCCACTGTCTGGGATATTTCAGTTCCCCACTCTAACCACGCCACCCCAGGAAATGAGCAGTCCCTTCGGGAAGAGCTGCGTCTCCTCAGGCAGGACCAGGGGACCTGAGTTCTCCCTGGAAGGGAGGGTGGAGAATGCAGGGTGTTTGGTAGGAGGAAGGGGGGAGAGGAAACAAACATTCCGGTGGGTCCTCACTGGGCCTCAGTTTCCCTGACTGTGTAATGTCCCACTAGGACGGGACCAAATGGGGGCGTAGAGGCCTCCAAAACCCAGCCTTAGGCTTGGAGATTCTCAACTGGGTGGGGGTGCAGAGAAGGATGGGGGCGAGCCCCCCAGCTGCCTGCCTTGCTGTGCACACCCAGGACTAACTGGCCTCTGAGCCCTCCAGCTGGGCCCTGCTGGGCTTCCCGGAGCAGCATCCTGTCCTTAATCAAGGACGAGGTGGTCTGGTGTGGGCCCTGGTGGTTGGAGTGTTTGGAGAAGGGCTGGAGATAACGCTTCTGGAGATAACATTTTTCTGGTTCCCTCGGAAAACTTTCACCCATCACCAGCTCCCTTGCTGTCCAACCAGCTGGCCTCTGGCCTCTGGACAGGAGCCCAGGATACGTTCTGGCTGTGGTGGGCGGGATGGGGCGGAGCCCCACCGAAGCCCAGGCCTGGGGTCCAATCCGGCCCCACCCTTGGCAGGGTTAGTCCCGGCTACCTGTGTAGACCACCTGCCAAGCTATGCGGTGTGGAGGGTGGGGGCTACCTGCTCCTCCTGGGGTCCCAGAGGTTTGTACTTTGGAGCAGAGAGGAAAGGAGGGGAGGGGAGGGGAAGAGAGGGGTGGGGAGGGGAGGGGAGTGGGGAGGGCACAGATAGAGCAGCATCTGTCTGTCCTGACTCCTCCAGCCCTGCACTCCCCAGCCCCCAGGGTCTGCTTGCAAACAGCAGACGGTGCCGACTTCTCCCCAAGGGACCCCATTGGCATTTTCAGTGCTTTCTGTGCAGCCTTGAAGCCAGTGACAATCACGAACCTCTCCTCCCCACCGCCGCTGAGCTACCCCTTCTCTTGTCTGCTCGCTGAAAAGAAACCTCTGGTCTCCTGAATTTACAAACGCTTTATTGACACCAGAGCAAAGCCACAGAAAGCTGCAGGCTCCCAGGTCCCGCGGGGCGGAGGCCCCCTTCCCGCGGCAGCCCTGCAGGGGGCTCGGGGAGAGGCCCGCCTCCAGCTCCCTGCAGCCGCCTGGGGCGGAGGGCCGGTGGCAGCTGCTTGGGAAGAAAGGGCAGGGAAGGGGGCCAAGGCCTTGTAAAGTACAGGTGGTTTTTCTACTCCCCGGAGAAACCCCCCGTTTCCCTTTTGGGGACCAACGGGTGGGCACCCCTTGTTTTCTAGGACAAAGGAAAACTGGGGCTCTGAAGGGGCAGTGACTTGGTCCAAGGGCTCTCTCAGCAAGTCAGGGGGATTGGAGCTGGGGGTTAGCAAAGCGGGGTGCCCAGCCCAGCCAAAGGGAAATGCCCTTTTCCAAGCCGAGCCTGTGGCGTTTGGACCACCACTGCCCCAGGGCCTCCCTTTCCCTTTTCCAAAACTTGGGGGAAGGGGCCGCGGGTGAAGAAAAAGAAGGGGTTCCTGGGTGGGGGGTGCCACCCAGGGCTGCGAGCCTGAGGTCCCCCCTTTGGTGCTCGGGTGCAGCCCCACACCACACCCTCATGACCGCTGAACTGTGTAGGATAATTTTGGAGGCTGAGGTCAGGGTCCCCAGAGGGAAGAGAGGTGGGGGGGAGGGAGGGGGCAGTGGGGAAGCTACAGCCATCTCTGTGCAGTGGACAGGTGGGCCTCGAGGCCTGGGCCTCCGGCCACTCTCACTGAGCCAGGGGCCTTGGGCAAACACTTTCCATCTCTGCACTCAGCTTCTTCCTTGAGAAGGGGCCATGGGAGTTGGGAATAACAGAAAGGCAGGGGCATGTAGTGGGTGCCCAGTGCCCCCCCTGCTTTCTGGGTCTTCAGCAGAGAACACCAGGGAAGGGGCACCTTCTCCAAGTGGGTGAGGGCTTCCCTCCAGCTTCTGGAAAGCCGACCAAGAAATAGCCAGTCTCCACCCCAGTTCAGACATAGGGCCTTAGGACCCGTGTGCCTGGGGGCTCACCTGGACCTGACTCCCCACCCCGTGGATCCTCAGGTCAGCAAGTGTGTCCTCAAACCTTCCAGGTCCTGGGGAGATGGCTGGAAGGCCAAGGCCCCACCCCAAGGTTCAAAGTGACAGAGATCTCCCCCCGACACACACTTCCCACCCCTCCCCTCCACATCAGTAATGTGGGAACCGGGAGGCCAAGATGCAGGGAGGGTGTGACCTGAGTGAGCACCGCACCTGGATCCGTATGTAAATGAACCTATGCAAATGCAGGGTACACAAAGGACCCCTGAAGATCCTGACCTCCTACACACCTCCAATCCCCTTCCTCCCGCCCCCAGGGCAGCTCGGAAACTGCCCTGAACCTCCCACATCCCGACCTGGAGCGGGAGGCTGCCCGCCAGAGGGTCAGGCTGAAGGCCCAGACCGGCTTTCCCCAGGAGCTCTTTCGGGAAGGAAGGTCTGTGGTGGGGTCCCAAACCCCCAGCCCAAGCCCCTAAAGGCCCTCTCCGGAGTCCCCCCCGCCCTGCTTCCGGGGGCCTGGAACGTGTGCTGGGTGCCTGATGTGCATCTGTGCGTGGGAGAAGAGCAACCGTGTGAGCTTGCCCACACACGTCACTGGGAGCAAAGATTGGTGTGAGCGTGTGCGCTGGGTGACTGTGTAAGTGTGTTTAGGTGAGTGTGTAACCAAGAGCCAGTGGATGGTAAGTTCTGGGGCCTGGGTGTTGTGTGTTGGTGAATATCGGATGTGTGGCTGTGCAAGTGTGTGAAATCTGCTTCGTCACGACTAAGGCCCCGACCGAGGCCCTGACTGCGTTTGCAGGTGTGTGTGTGTGTGGGGGGGGGGGTGTGTGTGTGCAGCTAATGGACTGAACATGTGCTCGGCGTCAGCATGTTTACAAGGGGCTCGCATGTTCAGGTGCGCACGTGCCTCGGAACGTGCCCTCCGTGTGGACGGCCGGGCCCAGGGTTTCATAACCGTATGTGCGCGGGCCTCTGCGTGCCCATGACTGGGCATGTGGCGCTCCCCGCTGTTTCCATAACGGGCACTTGTGTCGCGGCGTGAGGGTGAGGTAGGCTGTGTCTGGGTT